GGAGGACAGAGGCCTCATTAGACTTTGAGAGTTGACAATCTTACAGATCATTTTTGCAGCAACTAAAGCTTATGAATATTATGAAAATATACTTACAAACTAAGGAAAACTCATTAATCTGAATAAAAAGCTAATAACCATAGTATAATAATCCAAGAATAGATCCTTGTGGTACACCACGTTATATGACTTAAGTTTCTTATATGACAGAATGACATTTGTCTTCTTTGGTTTGTTTTTTCTTTCTATTTTGAATTAAAACAACTAAAATCAACTTTAAAAAATAATGATGTAATAAAAAATATATATGTGGATGTGACCTCCAGGTGGGTGGTAATGCATACTTTGCACGTGACGTCACAACTACTGGCTGGCGGGCAAGAACATCGTTCTCCAGCAACGAAACCCAGTAAACTAATCTAGGATCTTGCCAGGACGTCGCCAGTTTTACTATACAAAAGTATATATACATGTATCATATGTACGTGATTTGATATGATATGATGAGAAGAAGAATACATGTTACAGTACACATTACTGTTGTACTGCGTCTAATTACTTACTTACTTACAGTTGCTTTGCATACATAACGGTACTATCGTACAGTTATTACTACTACATTAACGTTACAACCTAACAGATTGCTAACAGGATTAAAGGCATTTCACTGCCCCAGCTGCTCTTGTCTGTTGTTTGATGCTATGTGGAGTGGATGAGCAGGTAGGCTACAATGTTTGACATCCTGTTAGCCATATATGATACAGCCTAGTTGGCATAAGGGTTTTTTTAAACTAACGTTACTTATCAAGCTGTCATGCGGGGCTTGCATGATTTCATAATCACCGCATTTTCGTTGCAAAAAAGTCACATATATCTTAGCATAAAGTTGAAAAATGTTGTGTTTACTTCACACAAGAGCAGCCATTTTCCCCTATTGCCATGGAAACATTATGAAGTGACGTAATTACGCGACGTGAACATCATCGAAAAGCTGCAAACCCCGCGATGAAGCCATGACGAAGCCCGCAAATCAGTCTCATTTGCCAACAAAAATAATTATTAATTATTTTAACAGATGTCTGTTTTGTATAGTTGCCTCTGTAAAACAGAAAGCACATTTTACTTTTTTATATTGTATTTATTAATTTTTACAGAAGTTGTAGCATATTCCTTTTTTCAACTTGTTTGACTCATCAATGTTTTGTAAGTTTGAGCCATGTGTTTATTAAGGTCTGAAATAAAACAAGATGAGAACTTAAATATTCCCAGCACTTTCTGTGATGTAGTATTCTTGCTTATCATAGGAAGTAATAAGAAATGACTCTTTACATTAAGGTAGTAGCCTAGTGAGAACAGGGTGTTGGGGGAATCACTTTTTTCCCCTCTTTTTCATCATCCGCAGTTTTTGCAAGTTCCCGCAATTTCATCGCATAAAATTGCATAAATATGCCGCATAATCAAGGATTTTTGCCCGCAACAATCACAAAAAAACGCCGCATTTTTCTGGAGGGACTGGCTTACAGACAACAAGAGAAAAGACAAAGAACTGCAGAGAGTGAGAGGAGTTCATGAGTGTGTACAGCAGCAGATACGAATCTGTTCTCAGTGGTTATTAGACTCATAAAAAACTGTTGACAGCGAATCAACACTTCCTTTCCTGCAGCAGACGGGCTGTGTGGGTTTCCTCTCTGCAGCCTCCTCACCGTTAGCTGCACTTTTTCACATTAATAACACAATGACAGTTACAACCATCGACTCTGGTTAAAGAATCATTCCAGGAACTTCAGTTTGATTTCAGCTCTCAGTACTCACTGTGAAAGTTGTCTTTAATTCAAACTGTTTTATTGATTCTGTAAAGGTGACAGTTTAATGACAGTTTCTCCAGCCTGACTCCAACTTGTAACATAATACAACATATTAGGACATGTGGGAAAGGATCACAGCCTGCATACATTGTTAACATCTATGTTTATTCTTAACATATTACAAATTAGAATTTGTGTCTAAATTAAATAAAATATAAGTTAATTGAAGCAGTTTTTTCTACAATGTATAACTTTTGTATTTCTTTGTGAAGCATTTTGTGATTCTGTCTTGAAATGTGTTACATGAATATAAATCTTAGTTAACGTTTAATCAGTAACTATACCAATCCATTTCATCTTGATGAAACTGAATACAGTTTAGTGGCATTTTATTGGTTTATGGAAAATAAACACAGCCAACATTTAGCCAACATTCAAACTGCAGGCCGAGTGATCCAGTCGCTGTGTCATCATTTTATTGCATCTGAAGCTTTAAAGCAGCTCACTCTGCTGTTTGTTCATGTGTGTAGATAACAGTGTCATCAGCATAGAGTTTTACATCCTCAATGACAAAATTATAATAGGGGCAAAGCACTAAAGCCAATAACTGATTGTGTTTAAAAATGTTTTACTATGAAGCCAAACTGAAATTGACAAAAACAGGAACAGAAGACAGAAAATAAGAACATAGAGAATATATACAGCAAAATATCAGACGGCTGATGATTACGATGAAACAATTATGTGAGTCAAAATAACACTTTAGCACATAATTTACATTCAGTAACTGCAGATATACATGTGTATATATGTATTTATATTTTTAGAATGACTGTATCTAACCTGCGTATAAAAAGCTACATTTTGCAACCAACCACAAAACGTCAAAATTGATATTTCTGGCTGCTGATCAAAGTGACAAATGAGATGAATTAATGAGATCTGATGTTGAGAAAAGGAGAGCAGAAAACAGTCAGTCAGCATGTGTGCAGTTGGTGGACGGTCCCTTGTTTCTGAAGATCATCAGCAGAGAGAGTCCACAGCAGTACACCAGACTCTTCACTATCAGCACTGTGTACATCAGACAGAGCAGCTTCACCTGGTACTGAGACGGGGCAGACACTTCTGGTGAAAGTGATGGTGGAAGAGCAGAAACCTCTGAAACAGAAAAAGGAGTCAAAAATAAATGTCAGTCCTCTGCTCTCTTTGACAGTGTCTCCACATGAAGCTGAATCACTGCTGAACACAGTCACCAAGCCTTCATTACCTTGTTCTGTTTCGGCCTTCACGTTGCCCCCCTCATGATGGACGGAGCAGCGGTATTTATATGTGTGGAGAGGGTCCCGATCAACAACTCTGATGGAGGTGGTGCGTCCCGACTCTCTGAGCTCCAGCTGCTCTCCCTCAGCAGAGGTCACGTCTTCCTCATTACCATTGTCCTTTCGTCTCTTCCAGGAGAACCGGACCAGAGGAGGAAACATGTCTGAGGCCACACACAGCAGGGAGCTCTTCCCCTCCAGGTGGGCTCTGGATGCTGCTGGGTACACGCTCACCACGGGCTTCACTATCTGCTCATCTGAAGTTTGACAGCAGCAACAAGCAGCACAGACACACATTCACACAGTCAACAGCAGCTTACAGCACTGCACTGCATTCAGTCTGATCCTGGAAACTACATGGACTCTGATCACTAAACTACTCATCAATACAGCACAAAGTTAACTACATACACTGGATTCACCTTCATATCAAATATATTTACCATCATCTATAGTTCAATTTCTATAATGATACTGTGAAATTACTGTGATATAAAAGGTCACAACAAAATGTTTGGTATATCATATTATTCATAATTAAAACAATTGTAATAGTAACTGTATTTAATATTATTGTAATTATAATTCATATAGAAATAATATACATAGACTGACATGTATAAGATATTCATAATTAACCCCTTAATAAATCAGAGACTTTATTGTTCATGACATACAGTATATCATCAGGCAAAGCAAAACATTTTAATCTATAAATTCACTGTAATTATTTACATTATATTGATATAACAAAGTACATTCATCACAATATTATCATAAAAAATGTTGCCTTCATAAAAGTGTGAATCTATTTTTGTCACGTTATCTATATTTTATACAAGAATAAATATTACCCACCAATCATCGTCATGTTTGTTTTCTGGCCATTATGTTTACTACCATATACTTTTACTTAATCAGTGCAAAAAAATCCACTTTGTAATTACAGTACTTTTCATTTACTGTCCTTCATTTTCATAGTTGCCATAATATATCATACACAGTTCCAACTAAATGTATTGGTATTTATAGTATAGTATGAGTAACAAATGTACTTTTAAAAAATAAAAATAAAATCTTAATTGAATATGTATTTCATATGATGACTTTCCCAGCATCCAATATATTTTTCATAATATTTCTGCAAATAAAAATATATGTTACAATTGTATAACATATTTTGTATAATAGAAATTAAATTAAATTAATTTTAAACAAATTTACAATATCACACAAATATATTTACCACTTGAAATTATTCAAAATATATGTACTACTTACCGTTACATAGAATTCTTGTGTGTTGTTATGTTTTATATTGTTGGGTATAGTCTGTGTTGTCCCATATACCAGTGCCAAAATAAAATTTCCATTTTATGTATATTTAATACATTAAATCTGAATCTACTATACATCAGCTTATATTAAAACTGAATACCACACATTTAGAGAACATTTAAGAAACAAAAGAACCACCCACATATTTACAGATGTTATCAAATACTGTACATTTACATGTTCATTAATCCTGTATTTGATTTTGAATATTAAAATAAACTCTGGAGGTCCTGAATTTGAAGAATGCTGCATATCTCTTTAATTCACTTTAACTTGAGATTTTAAAAGTCAGCTTATGAACAGAGCAGAAAAATCCTCCACAATCATTCACGTAGAATTTGTTTCAGGAAAGAGAAGAAAACCACTTGTGAAGTTTCATCAAACAGCAGGTGGTGGGAAACCCGAGCAGAGTTACAACATCACTGCTGAGTTTCTCTCATTAATTTAAGATTTTAAGACGACTGAGAAAAGGATGCAGAACAAAACTAAGCAACATCTACAATAAAACTACTGAAAGAAAATGAAAGTTTAGTCTTACTTGTGATATACAGTCTAGTTCCAGAGCCAAAGATGAGGTATCTATCAGAGTCACTGGAACCTCCCACAGTGAGAAAGACTGATACAAAAACCTGTCTGCTACTGAATGTATCAGCTGAGGTGAACATTATGTTCACATTATGAACCAAGATCATATTTAATCTCTGTGATGTGTTTCTACAATATTCACATGTAGTTTACAGTGTATACAGAGATTATAGAGATGTGTGTTTAACATCATATGGACAAATATATTTATTGTATTATCATTATTTCAAATGTTAAAATATAATTAATTAATAGATCAAAATGATAAAATGTATTTTAAGTACGTTCACAGATAAAAACTAAATTATTATTATATTAATAATTATTATTGGAAGTAGGAATAAATGGACATATGACTTAAAGTAAATTTGTTGATTACATACAGTTAAAACATGACACACAGAGGCAGGAAGGCTTTTACTGTGAAGGAGCTGCAGGAAGTGTAAATTAGCACTGTGGGGAAGGAATGCTGAAAGCTAAGTTGTCTCAGTGCATTTAGGTTTCAAAGCAGCTCACTCTGCTGTGTTTTCATGTGTACATAAAACAGTGTCATCTGCAAAGAGGTGTACCCTGATGCTGTGTTGTGGAAGATCATTGATATTAATATTGCACATACTATAAATCAGTGTTTCTCAAACTATTTACACTGCGTACCTCCTCAGAAAATAGATAATTGATGAAAACACAGCAGCATAGGTTGATCTTATTCAGCGATGGATGTACACACAGGAGGCAGGTTTATTCTTAATAAGATTATTTATTGTTGACTGTTGTTGAATCCTGTTGAACTGGTTCAAGGACAGAGCTAATCTGGTGGAAAAGGGGTCCTCCTGGACCACACTTCTTCTTCTATCTTTCCAATAATACCCATCTGGAGCCACGATTGCAATGTTTTTGAGCCATTCATTTTACCTCCGCTCAATATTGTATCATCACATTTCAGCTCCTAACTAATCATCAATGTGGGCATGCACTATGTTCATGAATGTGACTATGTAGCAAACTGATATTGAAACAAAATATTACAGAAAATGTGAAAATATTTGAAATTATATTTAAGTGATCTCATAGTTTATTTTCATTTAAATTTTTGTAGTGTTTTTTTTAAATCATTTATTTTATAAAAAAAACAAAAAACGATTAGAGGCCCCATTGCTGACCCTTGTGGAATCCCCACTGAGAGTTTATTACTTACTTTGCCACAGAAGTTAAGTTATCAACTGCTTAAGTAAAAAATACAGCACAAAGAACATATACTTCCAGTCCACATTTAGATTTCTTTACAAGCTAGGGTTAAAGCAGAGCTGATTGGAGGATAGTCGATATGTTGATGATGCAAGATTAAGATAACAAAAAAAACAACTTTAACGCCACATTTTATCAACACGGACAAAAACAGAAACCTTCCAAACGTACAGGTAATTAATATTTGATTCTTTAATTGTCTCTGATGTACAAAAAGAAAAAGAAAAAACTAAACAGGACAGAGCACTGTCAGGAACCTGCTGAAATCTGAGAAAGAACATGAGACACAGAGAGCTGCAATGCTTTTATTGTGAAAAGGCAACAGGAAGTGTTTGTTTAAAGAGCTGATTTTTTATTAGTTTTAGTTTACTTTTAGTCCAGAGTGGGTTTTCACATTTCTCATTTAGTTTTGTTTTTTGTTTAAAATGTTTAGTTATAGTAAATTTTAGTTTTTTTGGTGTTTTTTTTGTCAGAAAAGGTTTTATAAGACTAACAGTCATGCAGACGTCCCAGTCTCAATAAATATATTCACAAATGGCTCCTCATGCTTACTGTGTACAAATTTGAACAGATTTTACAACTAAAACTAAAGACCTTTCCTGTATATTTTGATTTTATTTCGGTTGGTTTTATACATATTCTACACAATATCATTATAGTTAATTGTTTTAGTTGACAATAACAACCTTGAGAGGGACCAGGTCAAAGCTTTCAGCTTGTGAGAACCTGGGCTGTGGTTTTTCTGTTCTCTTCCTGTCACACACACTGTTTGACATCTGTTGGTTTTTGTTCAGGCTGCAGGGATCATTTCTCACTGTGGGGAACTCTCTTCCAGCAGATGCAGTAGTAGGTGGCTGAATGACTGAGACTAATTTTCGTGATCATCAACTCACAGCCTGTACTCTTTCTTGAAGCTGAGAAATCATCTTTCTGAGGATGATTGTAGCGTGAATTAACTTTCCCATCAGCCAGATCAATACGAAGAATCACTTTGAATGGGGTTGTTTCTGTCTTCTGGTACCAGTAGACCTGTTTTTTATCACACTGCTCAGTTTCTCTACAGCTAAAGGAGACGGTTTCACCAACTCTCCTGGTCAGTGACAACTGCTCCTGACTCAGCTCTGCTGCCATGGCAACCAGCGCTGTAGAGAAACAGACAGATAGATGAAGGTTAGTGTGACAGTGTTTGTTAAAGGTTGACTTTGTTGGCTCCTGATTGGCTGGAAACACTCACCTGAACACAGACAGCACAGAGCAGCAGCTGGGAGGAAAAGCATTTTGTGCAGTGGTGTTTCCTCTGGTGAACCTGGGGAGAAGTGGCGCTCTGATGCAGCTGAGGCCAAACAAGGACGAGCTGTGAGATCAGACGAGGGCCACGTGGTTTCTAACAGGTCCTCAGACCTCCCATCAGACAGATATGGCTGCTTTTGGGCAATAGGCCTTTTCACACATGGAAGAAGAAGCATAAGTGTTACTAATAACAATAATGGTTCTGATCTATTCGGGGGTCTCAGTTAGCCATGATGGTGTGACAGTATACCAACTGGAAGAAAACCACGACTCTAAAGCAGCTAAATAGAATTGAGCCATTAGTATTTTATCATTTACACCTAAAAAAATGCCTAATTTTATAAATATATAAAGTATAAATAAATAAGTCATCTGTTGTTGCCCTTTCTGTATATATTAAATCATTTTAGTCCAACATGATTTTTTTTTTCTTACTTTGGTATAATTTTAAAATGTTTTGTGTGCAGTCTGAATATTTTAGGTTTGATACAATCTAAATGTTTGTAATGAAGTTTTTATTTAACAACTGTTGTGAATTTAATAAAGAGTATCATGACATATGTCTATTTTATTTAGTTGTGTTAGTTCCAAATATAAAGACAAACATCAGCTTATCTGCTAAATGTTTTCTCAGATGTCCTTTACATGTTCTTTTAAGAAGCTTTGGGGTTCAAATAACGGTGAACTACAGAGATCTATTCTCGTACCCTTGTTATTTCTTATTATTCATTTGTTTTAGCTTTTCTTTTCCTATTTTGTTTGCTGATGATACCAATATGATTTTATCACAAACTGACTTCCACACTCACACAAATAATAAAAATGGCATGCCACAGATCATTATCTTTCCTGGTACACATAGTGTTTTTTGTACAATTATGACACATTTCATATTATTTAAAGGGATGTTTGTTCTATTATGTTATAACTGTGAACAGTTTGATCATTTTCACCATAAAACACTGTTGGAAGAATGACAGCATAGTGCAACTGTCTCATCAGACGAGACCTGTGTGACATTACATGTCTCTGTACGGTGTTAGATAGGTGTCACACCAATAAATAGCTGTATGTACTGTATGACCCTGGAAGATTGCAAACATCCCACATGTAGGTTCATAGTCGCACTATGGGGAAATGCACCAGGAAAAATAAAAACCCATAGAGATCATCTCATCTCAAATAAGAAAATATTTAAATATAAGTTTATATTATATTATAATTCAATTCAATTCAATATTATAAAATTTAATTGAATTGAATTGAACTGAATGAAGGAAGGGGAAATAAATGTATACAATTGTCCAGATACATGTCGTTTTACATTCAAAATCAAATAAAACAGCATTAATTGATAGAAAATAAAAATCACGAGGACGAGTTAGCTAATAGACCTAAAAATGTCAGGACCAACTCGGCAGCTAGCAATAAACTAACGCAGAATTGTTAAAAAAAAATAAATAATATAATTAAAAGGACATGCTGCAAGTAATTTGTAAAAAAGCAAAACAAAAACATGAAGAACTTTCCTTTGGCATTCCACAAGTTTTAATTTTCGTAAACCTGGACTCTTGGCTGTGAATCCTGACAGTTGTGGATGGAATGTCTTAAATACATCCAAACTTTCACCAATTAAGTGACAACATATTTGGAGATATGGCTGCAAATCTTAAATTGCCGTTACAATATTTTATAACCATTTGCTTTGTCTTACATCTGCTCATTTATAGGCAGACTGATAAAATCTTTTTAAAAAATACCTCCAACAAAGCAAAATGGCATGACCCAGAGGAATACACAGAGGAATAAAAGCTCTTCCACCATGGCTGTGTGACAGATTGGAAACAAAATTTTATCATATGGTGGATTTCTGTGTTTGCTGCTGGTGCTGACATTAAACATCAGAGAGAAACACCACCACCCTGTGGTTAGTCAGAGGAAGTGCAAGGGTATCCAGATGATGCTAATGATGGTCGCCATGACAACATGCGTTTTACACTGCCAGTGGCTGGTGTAATGATGTGACAGTGATTGTACAGCACTGTTCTCCTGATCTGGAGTCGTTTTTCATCACCTGTAAACCTTTCTACTCCTCCCGTGAGTTCACCTCCTTCATACTGGTTGGTGGTTACATTCCACTGCAGGCCAACGTGCAGGAGGAACTATTTCTTTCTCTTGAAACATTGTCTCAGCTGTTTTTTTAGCTTTTAAACCAATCACCTTCTGCCTCAACCTCCTGCCAACTAAACTTTGTAAAGATCTCTTTCCATCTCTGAGATCGACAATGCTGAATATTGTTAATGTGTCACTGACGACTGGCATTGTCCCCACTAGTTTTAAGACTGTGCGGTTAAACTTCGACTTTAGAAATCACAGCTTGATCCTGGATCTCTGAATAATGATCGACCAGTCTCTGACCTTCCATTCTTTTCTAAATCACTAGACCTTTTCAAGAGTCTGCTTTCTACAGCAACGTTTGCAGGCCCATGAAAAAAAAAAAACTTTATCTGAGTAATTTATATTTTCCTTTTTTCTGAGACTTTTTTTTTTTTCAATCTTGCTTTCAGGTCCTGTTACTCCACTGAAACTGCACTCACTAAAATGTTGAATGAGTTTATGTTTACTTCTATTACTGGATCTCAGTGCAGCTTTTGACACCATAGATCATTGTATACTCCTAGACCACTGGACAATCTCTTTGCTGTGTCCAGTCTGACTCTTGAATTTAAAGTCTTACTAACACGGTGTGTTTTCTGTAACAGTTCTACATTAAATTGATCTGGTGGAGTACAAAGAAACAGTTGTAGTAGTGACAGCAGCAGTACAGTTTGAAGCAGTGTGTTGTTGCAGACACTAGAGGGCAGCAGAGTGAAGGTTTTATTCTTCACAGCAGCACAGAACAGATAGAAGTACTGTCATATAAACTGTAGTATGAGCTGATAACTACAGGTTGAAAGTGAGGGATTCACTGGAAAATAATACATGAACAACATGAAGATGATATATAAGTTAATTTAAAATAATTATAAATATATAATAGGATTGTGGTTAGCCTAAGGCTAAATGTTAGCCTTGATGAATATTGTATCACTGTACTAATCCCTAGCAAATTGCTAGTTTTATTTAATGTGTTTCATTGTATTGTGTTCATAAAGGAGTGCCAATGTTAATTGCTAAACCAATCTCTAGTTTGGTTAGGGGACAGCTCATAGCAGGATAAGATATTAAAGGTGCATTGCACTTATTGTGTTCATATTAAAATCATTCAGCTTTAAATTGGTTATACATTTTAATAAGTTGTAACCCAACTACACTGTGTTTGAGCTGCTTTTGTTTATTAAAATGTACATGATAAATACATTAGTAGTGATCCAATTAAATTTCATATTTAAAGTCTAAAATATTAAAATGATGTCTGGAAACAGTTAAAAACAATGTCACATATAGAAAGTGATGGTAAATAATTAATTTGTAGATGTTAAATTACCAATTCAGAATCAGAATCAGACATCCTTTAATAATCCCAGGGGGAAATTACTTTTGTTACATTACTCCATACTATAATAGTACATATATTAAATTACTATATGTATATATATATAAAGTCTCATAAAGTCCCCTTTCCAATATGCAAAAATGGCAAGTGTAAAGTGGTCGCAGGCATAAGTGCGTTCAGCTGTTCTCTGGAGTAAACAACGGCAGCGTGTCCCGGTGGAAGCGTTATTAAAACACAAAAACTCTCTCAAACAACCTCGTTAGAGAGGGCAGGACTTCATAGAGTTACAGTGAAAAAATAAGAATGAACAAAAAGAGAATAAAAGTTAAGAAGTTAAAAAAAGCAGACTCAAAGGCTGGAGTAACAGGCAGCATGCAGCTTTACGCGCATGAGCCAATTGTTGAGGTTTATAGAAATTCATGATTAAGATTTGTTGGTGCTTAAAGTACCAGTTGCTATTACATGTGCTAATTCATTCCATTGTCAACAAAGTATGTTCTAGTCACTGGTTATTGATGCACTAAGAAAATAAGTTAATGAGGTCTCATGTTAGAAATAAGAACAGAACAGAGTAACTTAATACTCGCACTACTTGTGCAGGTTGGTTTATTGAGCTACCAGAAAGAATCTAGAGGATCCAATGATGGCGAGCCCAGAGTGACTGTGGAGGGTCGGGGACGCAGTGAGGACCGCCGCACGACCAGACACAGACAACTTTACCCATTCAGGAACAGATAAGACTGCGTACACACTATTAACTCTACCCGGGTAGTAGCAGACTCAGTGCACACACGTACAAGGATCAGGAACTGAACCCTGAACTCTGAACTCAATATCAGACTCCTTAAAGGACTATTTCTTTTATTTTACTATACAACTGAGAGAGCTCTATTTTACTTTAGATTTTTAATTTAAGTCCATCTAAATTGCTGTTGATATTGTTGGGTGAGGCAATAAATACTGTCAACTGTTCGATCCCCATACTAACTCGTCCTGAGCTATTAAAGGCACCACACCTCGGACCTAGCTAGATGTTAGTTGCCCTACTACTACTTCCTTTGGGTTAGCATTAGGGGCACTACAAACAGAATCCACAATAAAGATGTGATACTGTGTGTGGAAAAGGTTTTATGTGTCCTAGAAATGAAATGATGAAATGAAATGACAGAAATGTAAGGGGACGTTTAAGGCTTCAAATCACAGTTGAGGAGTTTTGTGGATTTGTAGTTTTGTATTTTCATCCCAGCTGTTAAACAACAGATAACAGTCTGTGTTACTAAATTCACCACCAACCTGAATGTGTTTGTGCCAACAGGAATGCTTTTTTCTATTTCTGCATCATCGTCACCCAGATTTTTCATCTGCTGTCAGATTCAAATCAAGACGAAGAAACTTCTCACTGAATCAGTTCAGAGAAACAGAGAAGTCTGGGAAAAAAGAATCATCCAGAAAAAAGCTCCAAATAATGAGAATAAAACAAAGAGAAATAGTGACAATAAGAAATGAAAAGCACACAGCAGCTTCAGCCGAGCTGTCAATCAGCAGCGG